TTTCAAGATGATCTGCAAACCTGCTGGCTTTCTGAGTATTGTTTCTAGCCCAGCTGCCATCTGCATTCCTGATTGGTGCGTTCTGTAGTATCGGATTTTTTAATATCCTAGTGGCTTTCCAGACTGAGTAGTCTCACAACATACACTGCCACGACATATATAGTCACAACCTACATGACAAGGAATACGTAGACAAATCAGAATATATACTACAATATGCAGACGACACTGTATTGATCGCACATGCCAATACCACACATAAGGCCGTAGACAAACTTCAATCACTGGCAAACAAAACAATGACATAGTTTTACAAATGGGGGCTAACACTATACCCTACAAAGAATCGGCTCCTACTGACAAATAATTTTATTAAACCGGACTTTCACACAATTCAAGCACCAAATCAACAGCGTCAATCAGCAATCACTTAAAAAGCAAAACACTTTCGATCGCTGACTTACAAAGACGGAGGGATCAACACAAAGAGAGCCACAAGAATTTACAAAGCGGTCCGCCGACCATTACTTGGCGATCGACACATCATCAAAACAAACGCAACGAAAAAAACCAAACGGTACATACAGACCGCTGAACAAATCGCACTAAGATATGACGACTAGATATGACAGAAATACATTTAAAGACAAAATCGACAAACAACCCCGACAACTGGACCATACTCAATCCCCTTTGTCTTACAAGACAAACCAGGCTATCCCGCTCCCTTTTCCCCACACCAACGTTACTTGAACACTTACAAACACAACTGAACCAACCCGCCAGACATTAAACGGAAAATCTCAATGTATTTTAGGAAAACTACTATAAAATAATTTTTGGTTTTTCTTTTTTATTTAGTACACGACAAACATGTATATAGGTACACATGCAAGGGCAGAAAGGCCGTTAGGCCGATAGCCTTTTTGTAGAAATAAAGATTGTTTATATATATAACATATTTACTGGTGTTATTTAGATAAGAAGCTGACGGAGGAGAAGTTGAAAGCTATCATACAAGAACAGTTCGACAATGAATTGAAATCCAGACAAAAACAATTGGATGAAATTGAGGACAAAGTCTTTAAAGCCCAAAAACTATTGCACGTCCTACGCTATGCCTTAATTTCGTCATACTATAAAAACAAAAGTCTGCAAACTGAATCAACTAATACATCCACTTTTGACTCTACCAATCTACTACTGGGTCAAAATCGCATTCACCCGGCAGTAAAAAAGCTGCTTGGCAACAATACAAATAGTCTGAAAATTTTTGCTGAACGCACCAAAAGAAGAGCAACTATTAATAAGGCGGACTATACTAATGAAACAAAATCGGAAATCAAACGAATTAAATTAGATCCTCACGCGTCTAATGAAACCGATACCAGTACGATAGCAAATAAAATTAAATTGGAACCAAGTAAATCAAAAAATCAGGAAGTGGAACCACTGACTAGCAGAACGAAAGTTCAGCACAAAGTAGTTATAGGAAACATTTCCTATTTCAAGAAATCGTTGGAGCAAAATAACTTAACGCATAAATGGATGGTTTATGTGAAAATCTACAAAAAAACAGAAGGCGAACCAGAAGTTACAGATAGTATAATTAATAAAGTGGTGTTTTACCTGCACCCATCTTATAAGCCTCATGATGTAGTGGATATTAGGTAAGCATTCATTCACGATTTATTAACCATTTGTATTATTTTATGTAGTATTAATTTCATTTGGAAATGAACATTGATTAACTCACAGTCTAATTAGTTTCAACCCAACTTTAATTATATGTAAAAATACAGGTTTTAAGGCGTGTTATCTGCAAGCTCTCTCGGACCTTGTTAAATCTTCACTTTTGTTTAGCTGTAGCATTATTTTTAATATTAATCCAATAGAATTATGCTCATTCAACACTTTGCTATTGCTTATCATATAGGGTGGCCCAAAATTAGGCGAGTTAAATTCCTTCACCAGTGATTCAAAAATGGAGCAAAAGTTTCTGGTTTTTCTGCTTGTATGTCAAGAACTTTTTTAGATGAACAATTCAACTTGTATGCAAAACTAACCAATGGCTATAAGTGCCAAGTTAAATTTTTTAAATGTGTAAGTGGCATAAATTTTGGGGTTCAGTGATATAACTTCTACACTACTAAAGAAAATTGCAATTCTGAATCACTTTTTGGAAGGCCACTCAAAAAATATTCTTTGTTCAAAATCTCTAACCTCAGCTAAAGCTAGACTTACGGAGAATAGTTCGATTTCTATTTCATAATAATTCGGTCATCTTGCAATGATTTAATGCGATTTTAGTTTGAGTAACTCTGTATAACTACTTATCCGTATCTAACTATTTTAATTTTCGTTCAGTAATCCGCCATACCATTTGTCCAGAAGAGGCTGGGGCGAGTTTCCCTTAAGGGTAAAAATTTTTTTCAAGTCTCTAAAAAATAAGCCTGTAGATGTTATTCACCAGCTGAAATTGGATAACACTTTTACCGAGCGACAAACATTAGGTGAGTTACATCGAGCTATTAGCTACAATTATTTAATGCTTTAACCTATTATTTCGTTAATTATTTTATTTTCCTGCCTTTTTTAAACAAAATTTAATACTTTTAATACCATTATTTGGAAATCGATTTTATACTCTCCGGGTTTTATAATTATTTAGAGGCATTTATGTTTTTTTTGTTCATTTCAAAATTGTAGTTAAATAATTAAAATTACCCTTGTGACATTGCGTGTAAAAGTTACTCTATAACTGGCTTTATTGTGATCGTTTGGCTTAGGTTTTTACTCTGTTTGTTTTATTTGCTGGGCATATTTTTGAATGTTTTGAAATAATAATAATAATAATAATAATGCTGCTCAAAAGGGTAACTTCTGTCCCATATAATTTGTATGTTTTTTAAGCATGTTTTTTTGAATTCTTAGATGTAGCATCGCATACGGAAAAAATTAAGACATTTTTTCGATTAGATACAAATGGACTTCATTACAGGGTGACAACAAAAAAATGACCCCCAGCAAAAACTTCATAAAATGTTTCATTTTCGATAAAAACAAAATACAACAACTATTGTGACCACGACATACTCAGTCGGCTTCGCAGTGGCTTCCTTGCGCGTCTCGACAGAACCTCGACTCTGCCGTGCCACAATCTTCTTCTCGCGCCAATCGGTCCCATTCCCGACGCGTCGACCGCTTAAGTGGTTCCAAAGTTTGGTGGCGTGTAGCACAGGACCTGGTCTTCAAAATAAACCACACAATGTATTCCAACGGATTGAGATCTGGCGATTAGGGCGGCCATTCCACCGACGAAAGAAAATTGGGAAAATGGGTCTGGCACCAGTTCTGAGTGGCGCAGTCCTGTTGGATCGTCCAATCCGCATCGCCAGTGCTGTTGTGTCCACGGAAGTACAACGGCTTCGAGGATTTTGACCCCCTGTTCCATGAAAACGAGAGGGGCCTTGCCACTGGACCAAATTCCGGCCCAAATCATAACGATGGTCGATGTGCCGGGGGCCTCCGCGGACTAGCTCCTATCTTCTGCTGATTGTACACTTGTTCAACGGCGAAAGCTTCACATCCGTGACGACGAAGGAGTCGTTTGCATTTTTCAAGCCGTACGCGCTTGTTTTCGTCGGTGAGGAGCTGAACTTTTTGTAGCTTGTAGGGCTTGAGATGGCGCTCCTCTCTGGCTATTTGGCGGATTGATTACCGATTGATACCAGTCTCACGCGACATATTTCTCATGGAAACCCTCGAATTTCCCCTGACACGTTCTCGGACGATCTCCCGGTTCTGGCAGTGAGTTTTCTGCCAATTCTCTTTGGTTTGACATCTTAATAAAGTAACTTAAAACTGTTGTATAAAATTGAAACAGAACATATATGTAGTATTTTTAAGGGGGATCGAATAAAAAAAAACTTTCAAACTTAACAAATATTCATGTTACATTCGCGACAATTTGGTTGCAATTTTTTTATTGTCTCCGGTAAATACTTATATTATATTTATTGCAGGAAATCAGACAACTGTACCCATATTTTTGTACGACGATACCATTCCAACCCCTAAAATGGAGCCTAACGAAAGTAAAATCTTCCAAGAAAGTATTTCTGATATTAGTAATTTTTTCGTGGACGATAATCAGTTATCAAGGTTGAACTTGCATGAACCGATTCTAAATGTCGAACCTTCAACTAGTTATGAACATGACTACTGTTTTGATAACATTGAAATAAAACTAGAGCCACATGAGATCAATGATATTCAAGGACTTCAAAAGGAACTCTCATCGGATCTTCACATAATAAGTGAACCAAGTTGTCTACATGATCATGCTTATAGTATTCCATCACATAAAGAGAACCAAAAAAGCCCTAAAAAGAATAAATCACCAGTAAAGCAAGTTTATAACGAATTGATTTACGGTTTGGGGCCGCACTACTTAGATCGGCCAAGATCTAGGCCTAAAAGCATAAAAACTGTCGCAAACGATTCCACTCCTGAAAAGGTAGGAATATATTTTAATAATTCATACACAACTACTCACTACTTTTATTTTTTAGAATGCAAAATCTGGATTTAAAGTACTAAAGACTGTTACAGGCCAATCTATTCGATTTTTGCCAGAGAGCTTCAACAAAGTTCTTCTAAACAACGGCAATATAGTATCTGTAAAATTGTTAAAGTCCCGCCCATCCAAATCAGGTGAAAACCGGGAGGTTGTTAACTTGGATGCGCAATTTTTCAGCAAAGCAGCTAAATCACATCAGAAAAATCATAGTTCGGTTAGAACAATCGTACGACAGGAACGGCGATTATTAGGTGTGCAACCAATTCATAAATTTAAAAATATGGGGGAAGCGTTGCCTTATTTGTTTAAACGGCTGCCTTTATGGACAACAGAAGCTAACGACTTGGATTATAAGTGTACTTATCCTTTTACCGCATGTTTGGAGAAGGAATTTATGTCATGGAATATAGGGAAAAAATTAGCAGCCGAAGTAAGTAGGTACATAATCATTGCGCAAGGTGATATGTTTTGTTTTATTTTATTGCTGTTATAAATGTTTTTTACTAATTTTTCTTTTAGTGGTCTAGAGCAAAAGCTATCAAACGAATAGTAGCAAGCGAACCTTACAGCGAACATTGGACGACGAAGGCAATTTTTATGTATGGTAGATCGCATGCCTATTCACCTGCAGTGTCGAGTTATAAACTATTTCAAAAGGAATCGCTAGAAAAGCATTTAATCCAAAATTGTTTTCGAGGTAATCGACTTGAAAATGGCGTTGTGTCTGAACCTATAGTTAGTGATGAACATGTAAATGTAACATCTCCAATCAAACCTGTGATAGGTAAGAATGTGAGGAAATTGTATTGATATACACGTAAAAATATTTACTGCTTTAGATCAAGTAGAATTGAATTCTATTGATAGTTGTATAGACTTGTCTGATAAACGACTAACATCCGAATATGCATTTGTAAAAGAAGCTGCGTTAGATGTAGGAGTTATACTTAAGCCAGAGGTATTAACTGAAGGTGTATCAATGAATGCTTCTAAACGGATTATGCTTGAGGCTGTGAAATGTTTCGCTGAGAATCTCATTAGGAGATCTAGAAACAATATGGTATGTCAAAATAATTACAAGTAAGTCCAAACTCCATTTTCAAGTAGCGTAGGCTATAGATTATGTTGTTTCAGACCGGAGACGTCGGAAATCACAATTAATGAAATTCAAGGAGTACTAGAAGAGCGCAGGGAATTTAACTCCATAAAAAAGTTCAAACAAGATAAAAGTGAAATGGACTTTTTTTCATAAACCAGCCAACTGAAAGACTGTACATTAAATCGATTCTTATACTGTTTCTATATTTGGTTGCATTGAAATACTCCATTATTTTGCAAACATTAATATGAAATAGTCCCTGTTATATCAAAGGATTTTTTTAAATAAATTTTACATTAAGTGGTTCGGATATTATTTTTAGCGAAAGGCGAGAAAAATGTTTGCGATTTAGTGGATAAATGGTATACAAACTATATGACAAAAAAATGATCTGAAAAGTTTATGTTTGAACAAATTAAATGTTTATAAATGGGAAACCCAGTTAGGGTCCAGTAATGAAGCGGAAAATTAATAGTTTTGTCTACAGTGCATTTATACATCACAGTGGCGACAATGGTTAGTTCACTTTTGTAATGGTTAAGGACTTGACATGACTAGAACAGCCATTTTGAGGCAAAAATTATTTTAATTACTGTGCAGTTATGCACGTTTAAATTGAGTGTGGTCACCCTTACTGCCTTTTATAGAGTGTCATATTTGCGTCTAGACTAATATGAGTTATGTCAATCTTGCCATTAAGTGCTGACCCTTGGACAATTGACGTGTGTCATATTTGTGTTCTCATAATGAATTAATCACAGACTGAACGGTTGGTCTAGTTTGCGAGCAGTAAAATATTAACAGCTAGTAATAAAAAAGAACAATCATAAGTTTTTGTTAACAGTGAACTTTATAGTATCTGAATAAAATATTTTCAAAAACAAAGTTCTCGGTCATTCATTGTTAACTTTTGACATATTTGATTGTGTAGTATTAAATGAGGTTTAACTTAACTGTTTGAAACAACAGTTAAGAGTGGGCCTTGGAATACTGGGTTGTCTAGGTGTGAATATTTTTGAATTTAAATACTTGATTACAGGTAAAACACGATTTTTAAATTTCACATAACCCAATTTGTAAGAGAAACATTAGGTACATATATTGATATTTCTGTTTTAATACCTGGGATAGTAATCGTTACAAGTGAGTCTATTATAAACTTCCTTAAAAAAACGTAACATTTATAACGAGGAACGAACAAGACTGAAAAGCTAAACTGCATTTCCATTGCTGAGAACAATTCTTATCGAGTGCTGGCATTTTATATAGAAAAACCTAGTCTTTAATGCTGGTTTCTAATTTAATCCCAAAATGTTTTATATCATAGCAATAATCATTTCAAATAAAAAATTGGACTTGAGTCACAGCAGATCGATTTGCCCCATAATGGCGAATGGAAGGACTCTGGTCCTATTGTCGCCACTGGGTTTTATAAAAGCACTGTAGTTTTATCAATTTCAATGTATTATATGGTTTACAAAAAACAATTTCTATAAAAAGCAACTTAATACTTACGACAATTTGAGCCAGGTTCAGTCTTGATTCAAACACTGATACACTTGCATATCAAATGGCACCAATCTACGAGCGAAGCCAGCAATTACTTTTAATCTATTTGACGCAAAGATGTTTAGATGTTAGATTGAAGGAAATGTGACAAATCATTACAGGCGTTATTCGTATATTTTTCAACTGATTCTGTACTACCCAAATTTATAAAGCAGCTTTAGTTAATTGACTGGCTTAATAAAATTATGCGAACAATAGTTGTTGCAAAATACTGTATAACCGTGTTCACTGTAATCAAGCAACTCAAATCAGAACGAAGCAATTAGGTAATTAGCAAACAAAAACTAAAACTGTTAGCAACAAACTCAGCTATCAAACAATGCGTAATTGAAATTTGATTAAAATATATTCGTTCAGAAAATCATAGCTAAAAAATGAAACATTTTTAAGATTGACATTTATTTAAAATAAATATTAACAAATGATCTGTGAAATGGGTGTGATAAGTAACCAAAAGAAAAATATATTACTAGTCACATTTATTTCAAATTTAAACATCTAATAATTTCACATGTAACTTTATAGTTACCTTCCTATTTAGTAGTATGTAAATTAACTTATTACGAATATAAGAATGAAATGGAAATACGTCTTATCTGAAAATACTAAAACAATGTAAAACCTACAATACAGTACATAGGACAAAAAGATAAAGGAGATTTACCTAATTTGACCGAGCTCCTGATTTTTAAATAAAATGTTTCGACTAATAACTAAAAGAGGAATAAAAAATCATACTTCATTTAATTACCAGGAGTATTAAAGGGAAAACCAATAATTTAAATCTGATTAAGGATACATTCTAAATAAGTGCACGTTTACGGGTCACAAAGTATGAAATTTTCTTTTAGTGGTTTACTAATGTTTCCTGTATCCTAACATTAAATAGACTAGGAGCACGTTTTAGAAGTTAATAAGGTTGAGTTTCATACTTTGTGAAAATTTAGTAGTTTTATCTAAAAACGTGTAGTTCAGATTTGCTTACAGTACGAAGAAGTTCGCCCAACAAAATATATTACAAAAATTTACACATAATTAATTTATAAATATTTATTACGTTATTAATTTAAGTATGTCTTGTAAATTAAATAACAGTAAAGTTATTCACATAATGGCCCGAATGCCAATATACAAGCATAAAGTTCAGTTGGTGTGAAAAATGTAGTAGTTTGTTTTACGGGCCGAGACGAAACAATGGAAAGCTGAAATGCAAAATGTTGGCTTCTTCACTTTGACGTCATCATGGTGACAAACTCTGAAACAAAAAATTTTACTGTCAAAGCCTTAGTTTTACAATACAAAATCGAATAAACATTGAACATTCACATCAATTGAAACGCATTAAAAATGGCAGGTAAACTTGAAGTGTGTTTTTAATAACAAATTAACAAACAAGTAGTCTGTATCTGCCACTATTTAATGCGAGCAGAACAACAAAAACAGGAACATTATATCTATATAGTACTGATTCAACAATAATTATTATATATTATTCAAAATACAAAGGCACCAACGAATCGCAACGAAACAGCGACCATTGTTTCATGTGGTTGATAAGTTAGCATACAGTGTTAAAGCAGATTAAAGCGCAGAACACTAAGTGTAAATTCAAATTAAAAAATATCAAAACAATCGAAGCTTCGATAATAATGTGTTTTCAGGATAGTTACTGGTGAAATATTCGCGGTTCGAAAAAATTATGGATAGATTCGTTTGTGTATATGTATGCAGTAGGTACCCAAAAGTGGATATCAATGTAAAACCAAATATGAAGAAACAAAGCAAAACAAAATAGTTCTTGCCGTAGTTGGACCAGTAGCACATTCAAATAAATGTGAATTGAACTGAATATCTCCCATAGAGAATATTGTACTTAATTCGAATGGAAGCAAAGCTATAAGCCAAAAAAAAACATAAGACTCGAGAGTCATTTATTCAGGTCTACAAATCAATATCACGTGCGGTTTTTTGATGAAAAGACAAATAACTTTCGCCCGCATATCAATATTTCATCAAAAACACGATAGCACGATACATACATATGGATTTATCCAAACTCTTTGCTTGTGTCGGTCAGTTCGATACCGTGTCATGGAAAGAATTATAATATCGTATTTATTTGCTTGTTGTGTAAAAATGTTAGCGTATCAACAAAAGTTCTTAAGTTCACCGAAAATGCGAATTATATTTGGGCTGGATCCAAGTTTTAAATAATTTCAGTTTTAATGGTTTTGTATTCGAATAGAAACACGAGCTTGCCATTTTTTTCCTCTTAACACAATCATTAGCCGTTACTTGAAGATATTCACAATAAACAGAAAATGTATTACAAAGTATGAAAGTTTACCACTTTGAATGTTTTCTGGATAGTAAAAGTATCTATTAAAAATTAGATATGAGTTAATATTATTGTCAACTTGTTTGTGTCGCAAAGAGGTAAATAATTCAACGATCACAAAGTGCCACAAACTTCCAGAGTGCTCATTGTACAGCAACAAACCACAACATGAAATCGTGCATATAAGATTAAGATTATTCCGGTTTCCTTTGCGTCACTCCAAGCATTAGAATTTGTTTCGTACCATATCAATTACGATACGCTCGTTCCGGTACGACGAAGTGAATATAATTAAATTACTGAACATATCTTAGAAAATATTCCAGTGATAATTCTAATGTCCGGGCAAAAAATAACAAAAATATTTAGTCACATACAGGTAGAACTTCCAGCTGTTAAAGCTGCAAATAGAAAATATAACATGGGACACCACGATGTGTTTAAACAACATTTAAACTTGAGGGATTTAAATACGCGGTGTGATTTAGAATGGTTCCGATTTAATGATGTTCGTTCTAGTTTTCATGCTAATCGCTGCCATCAAGAAGCAAAACGAGCAAAGCAAGCGCATTCTCAAATATAAAGCAGACTACAAAACTGACCAGCTTGAAGCGCGTGTGACTGTAGTCGAGTACTGAGTGAAAACTATGAGCGATAGAGCTCGGAAATCTGTAAAGAACGAATAGAAACTACCAGTCATACGCTAGCCAAACTCAAATCTAATAAAATAAAATACAAATATCAAATTGTACGTCTAGTACATGTTATACGTGGTGTTTTATTTACATTTTACCATTGTATTTTCAGAACATATTGCAAGATGATTTTCAATGCGCTGCACTCCCAACCAACGGGAGAATAGAAGAAATATTTAAAGCGAGGTGAAAATTCGGAAAACAAAACAATTTAAGCCAACAAAGTCTAGAAAATACGAAAGTTGATAAAATTTAATATTTTAAGATCGTTAAAATTAGAACTAAATCATGTACAGGGTGCAGACTAAAAAACGCATAATAAAATCTGGACAATAGAACAGCGTGTGACTGTCGTGAAATTTCAACATGAAATGCAGTATAAAATCAGGTGCATTGCCAACAAACTTTCATAGATTATGTAGTTGAGCATGTAAAGTAATTTAATTTACAGATGAATCATGTATGATCGGTATTGAACGTTTCATTCAAAAACAAAAAATTACCATATTGGATTAATTTAACAGGAAGTTTAGAAACGACAGGAAATTAATCACCGTACCACACATATAGAAAAATAGTCACCAATTTACACGCGTTTTAAAAATATTACTGATTATAACTTTTCAAATTCTATGTGAGTGTTGAGACATCCATTAACCCTGAACATCACTTGCTCGATTCCTTGCCTTTTCCCAGTACTAAACTAAAAAAACCAAATTGATTATTTTAATAAAATTAAACAGGGGTTGCTGGCTTCGTTCTTTTCTCTGTAAACCCTTTACTTAATTTAGAAATATGATAGCATGACCTTTTTGAAACCGATCAATATGTTTAGGATAGGCTTGTTCTAATTAGACGAAACCCCAGGTTACCTAATACCATAATCAACTTCAATCCAAGGTTGGTATTTATCACCGATTCGTGCGGTACAAAGCACCTTAAATGACACAAGGGTTTCCGATGAAAACTCAATTAATCGTCTCAAAAACCGAAAAACTATTGGCGTAGATATGCAAGGACACACTTGGTATTGGTGCAGATAATGCAAGTGTATAATCATCAATAATTATTGAAGTATGAGGAGTGATGTTTACTTGCAGCAATTCACGTTAATATTTCTTGTAAACAAATCATTTAGAAATTATTATATTGAAAATAAGTTACATTTAGATTTTATTTGCATAAATGCTGTATAGAGTAAAATATTCGGAATGACTAGACTTTTTAAATATATACACTACATGGAACATCCCTAATGAAAATTTATAATACTTCTGCCCATATTTTAGTGAAAGATTGAGCTTTCTCTGCGCATAAATAGAAAACTATAAAAATTTAATAGAAAGGCAAAGGATGTCCAAGTAGTTTTGTTTTCTTTTCTTGATTTTCTACTTCTTTCCTTTGGCTGGTGGTGGAGCTGGCCCGGGTTTCGATTTGGTTGGAGGGCACTTTTTACCTTTTTTCTTCTTTTTATTTTGCAGAAATACTTTTATGTAAAAGTTTCTAAAATCTAATAAAAATATATGCGGACCATATTAAATTAATAGCTTTAATCTGACTCTTGCGGGATAAATCTATAAATTATGTTCAATGATTACTATTATTAGAAAAACCTGATATATTTTTCAAACTACCAGCCGTCAGTATTCATAATATTGCCATAAAAATAACCAACATCAGATAACAAATTGACTGTTTAATACCATGTAATTAATAAATCAAAAATCTAATTAGTCGGTCTAACACAGGATTCAGACAATTTTTTGTAAGGTTATAACGCATACAAATATATCCAGGATTTCAAAAGATGATTGCGAGGCAGTGGACACTAAATTGAGAGCACAAAACAATAATTTAAACGGTTACTGTATTTTTTCACTCCGATAAAATGTTTTTTGATCCGTTATTATATTCGACACAAAATTTGCAATGAAACAGTCGCGTTAATTGAATAAACGTTTTATGCAGGTCTTAAAATGGATTCAATCAAAAGTAACGGAATAAAAGTTAACAATACATCAATAATATTATAAACCTTATTATGGTAGCACACTTGAATAAACCGTAAAAGAACTATCAACACGTGTAAGTGGTAAAAATCAATAGTGATTTTCCACACAAAAAAACGACTCAATAGTACAGTACTGCAGACACCAAGACAAATGATCTCTTAAATCAAAGATATTAAATAGCAAACTCTTAAAACCAGCCTTTTTCTGTAGGAAATAAAGATTATTTATATATATATATATAAAACCAGGACGAGTTATATTTTTAAAACTTTGCAAGTTACTATTGTTGTTAGTAGTCTTACCTTCATAATTGACCTGACCGTCACCATCAATGTCCGCCTCCCTGATCATCTCATCTACTTCCTCATCAGTGAGTTTTTCTCCAAGGTTGGTCATTACGTGACGAAGTTCCGCCGCCGAAATAAAACCGTTACCATCCTTGTCGAATACACGGAATGCTTCACGGATTTCCTCCTCACTATCAGTGTCTTTCATTTTACGCGCCATCATCGTGAGGAATTCAGGAAAGTCGATCGTGCCATTACCTTTAAAAAAATATAAAAATTCAATCAGCAACAAAGCGTACAATTTCTGGACAAATCAATTTGTCAGTTCAATGGTTGATGTTATTAAGAAGGGTCATTAAATTTGCCTAATTATGGTTCCAATTAGAGGAAAATGCGTTGTAAAGTGAGTCATTTTTGTTGTAGATGCAATTACAGAGAATGGGCTTATCCGTGGCAACAGGAAGAGAATGCTCCGCTTCACTGAAGTGGAGAAAATGGATGAATTTAGAGAGGCTAGGACATTTTCCAATAGGTGCAGCCAACAAAAATGAAAAAAACTGCAGCTTTGTATTTATACCTATTTTTGTTCCCCCAAAAAAATTATGTTTCTATAATTTGTACTATAAATAGACATTTTGGTTGATAAAACGCCTAGTTATTTTGGGCAATTCAATTAATTTAATTGATATAGATTCTCACCTATGTTTACTACGTGAATCTACAGTGATTCATGAATAACTAAGTGTATGACATTTTATTTTAAGTATTGCATGCAATATGGTAAGGCTGGCTCACATGCTGGACAAACGCCAGACTCTACTATAATATCTGTTGTAGCTATTTTTTTTCAATAATTGGGATATTTCGTCTAAAACTGAAATAAACATAAACTTAACGATGCCACTTTGTGTATTCCCAATTGGATACTGAAGCCAGTAGAAATTTAGGAAAATAACGACTCGATCTTTTGTCAACTGCTGGTTTGCTAATGTTCACTTCGTGACTGATAATCATTAATTAACTACGATTACCTACTGTTAAATCCGATAACGTCATATCTAATATTTGTGACTAAAACTCTTGTATTCGTATGACAAACGGTTTAAATTACAATAGTTACCCACACAATTTAAACATAAATTTGAATAAATCTTCATATGATTATTCGCTCTCATTCAGTGGATTTATATTCAATGTAAACCTCATTTATCAAAAGTTAGGCGCGACCAATATTTGAGACGTGAGCTTTTCGGGCTTTTCGGCCGTAACAGAAAATAATTTCTCGGACGTTTTACATGCACGAGTAGTTTGCATCTTCAGAGGTGTTTTGGGCGATAGCTAACATACATATTCGAGCGAAACACTTGAGGATGCAACGTACCCAACATTAAAAATTCGTTCGTAACATATTATCGGTACCTAAATAAAACCTTTAGGTAAAAAGTATGTGGGTTTTTAAATGTTGTTTTCCCCATTTACAACATTCGAAATATCCTTTTTTCCACGAAATCGAAGTAATGATTGGAAAGTTTGTTTAGTCACCAAACTATAAGTTCAAGTGGTTTAAATTCCATACAAATTGTTAATCGTTATTTGCCTCGCAGTCACATTTGCTCTGCCTAAACAATATCCTAATACATTAAATTCAATGAACAAATATGCGGGATTAAACCTATACACGTTTCTGAAAGAGACGAGCCTCTCGCGATTATCACATTTACTATTTGTATTTAACACTGTATTTGTATTTAACACCACACGCAAATGCGGATCGTTAACTGTTATTAAAACCGCGATAATTCTGATGCGTCAATGAACCAGTGAAGATTGCGTCAATTATCATTGTTTCGTCAATATGCTTTGATGGAAAGCGGTAATATTGTTTTTAATACTTTAATAGTAAAGTTAACGCAAACTCTGCCAACAACAAAAAGAAACATTCGAGATGTTTTATTAAAAAAATACGTTGCGTTTTAATTCCGCTAACTATTTTAAGCACCATTAAAAATATTAGAAACATTTTATTTATTATAAAAAAAACTGAAAACGCTCTACCCCTGGTCAATTCGAAAATACATTTACCAAAGATCAAAAATAAAAGTTACTCAATAAAAAAAAGCTCCAACCGTTCCAACATAATTTTTGTATGAAAACCATGTGTTCATTACACAAATACCAGGCGCGGCCTTGAATAAACGCCGTTTCAGTGTATATACCACAATACAAATTTATTTGTATTAACAATATTATTCCCAGTGTTAAGAACACTAAACTGTATTTAGTTTATTATTATTTTAAGCTTAGGTTATTAAGCTGGCTAATGTCTGTTGTGATGCTAGGAACACCTATCTTTCATTACGAGGTATGTATAATAACAATTATTTACATCCGATTATAACAGCTACTCATTTTTATTTCGACAGCTTCGAGAATAACGTTGGCCATAGAGAAACAGTGTATTTTTGAATAAAATCCCCCATATTTTCCCGTTTTGTATTGCACCGAGTGATTGAAGATTGACTCTCTAATTTTACTTTGAGTTGTTCGCTCTATTTATTCAGGAGACTCTTTGCCACTTTAAATAATCTTCGTCACTTCTTAACTTCAATTACCATGATCTTAAATATGACGGTAAATCAACATAGACGTGATTGTAAAAAATCGTAAAATTGAAAGATTAAACCATACTGAGCGTTGTGAATATTCAATATACACGAATGATGGATAGAGGTTCGAAAAAGCACGCAGTCGGTTTATTAAAAAAACAGCCCCATCAGAATTTATTAAAGGAAACCAAAGGCTATAGAAGTAATAATCCAAATCACGCAAAAGCGCGTACCATTCACGTCACGTCCAAGACACGTCTGTGGTTATCGATTTCGAAGAGTTTTGGAGCAGGAAAACTCAGCGAAAAGTTATTTGCGTGCCCTAGAAAATTATCCATGTGAGGGCAATTAAGTGCCTAAAGATATTCTTATCTCGGTATTACCCTGCCAAGACGTCAGAAACAAGAATAATTGTAATTATGCGTGTTAAAATCTACAGTTGAAGATCGACTTTAGGGCTTCAGCTTTGTTGCTGGGTGTAAAAAATCACCACAAATAGATAATCGGTGTTTCGATATAAACCTAACAGAACAGCAAATAACGATAACGACCCTGTTAATTTGAATATACCGACATAGCGTTTAGGTAAACCGTACAGTCCGTATCCATAAAGTGACATAACACTAAATATATGATAAATGAGTTGCTACAATGCTAAGTAGGGAATGGATGATAAAATAATCGATGCATTGCGGGCAAGACCGTACTTTCAGGAAATAGGTTCATTTAATTACTTTACATTTATATACACTGAAAAAGTGAAAACCCGTAACTGATTATCATACTATATCATTACTAACAATACATAAATAAAACTTTTTTCGAAATAATACTTCAGCATTAATGAACCAAACAATGATATATAAAATCCTATATAATAAAACATTGTGCGATAACCTTAACCAAATGCGATAAAGTATGATAAATGGATTATATGAATGAAAAATTCATAAAAATCAATTTTCCAGGCACCCTATTTTCGACCGGTAATTACTATGTACTTTACTACTCTAATGCCTAAGTCTAGCTTTGGCACAGAATCGATATTTTTAGAATTGTTACCTATTTACATTTCAGAGACACAATGTTTGGATATTTCGGTTACGCTGACTCGCGCGTTCAGGGAGAGCTGCTATGAATTGTTTATTGGATGTTCATTTGTATCTATACACGTGATAAATTTCAAGAAATCTGTCCTAATTACGATTGGTCTTACTTTACTTAATTAACACAGCCAACCTCACATCTGGTCACCACAGTCTGGAAGATTGATTTCGATAATACTGACAAAATGTTCTATTGTATGTTCATTTCTAGATAAGTGGATGATAATAAGGGCAATTTTCCTTCTAGTACTGCGATTATTAAATTGCCTTCAACTAAATAATGTTAACACAAATTTTTATTAAGCGAACACATTTCACAGTATTCTGTTGAAATACTCAGCTATATAAAATTATATGAGAATAAGTATTATTTTTTATAAATTACCAACAAACAAACAATACTAATCTAAAAGCAGGTCTGTGACCCGTTTAATATTGAATTATAAATTATTTTTTCTATAATTAATTAATACAAGGCCAAATTTAGGATATAGCATACTTTAGTACCTCATTGAAATGTTTCGTTATCGATCGCTTTAATAAATTAGCAGGGCGTTTATCTGAACACGAAATTAAATTAAAATTGCTATAGTATTTTATATCAAATACAATTTTTTTGCCTCCTATCCTGCAATGTCCGTTGCAGTTACTTGATTTTCGAAATAAGCTGAATAAAATGTATGCAACTCAGACAAAAGAAAACTTGCTTAAATTTTATCCATTTTTCGGATGTTTCAACTCATAAACATAATTTTATATCTATATTAAATACATTCAAATCCGACCTCATTTTCCGGAACTTCATCTTATCTTCTATCACTAGAGTTTGAATTGCGAGAAAACTAGTTTCAAAAGTAATTATCTACTAGATAACTCTAAGCATGAAGACTCGTTAATACCACACCCAGTTTCAATATTCCTTAGCCCTTGATTACACGTCACAGCATGTGGCGTAAATTTCAATTGACGTCATCTCCCATATTAACTTTTATTATCTATACAATAGGACAAAACTGTGAAAATCATAAAAGATGCCTTTATCTATATCAGTGTCAAGATAATGTATTTACAACTTGTTCAACTATTATATATTAGAACGACTTCTAGCATTTGAGTCATTGTAATTATGGTTTTTCTTTTTGCTGAAAAATTCCCTTAATTCTGTTTTTGGATCTATTTCTTGCCCGCTTGAACTTAAAGCTAAAATATGCAGTTATATATAGTTATATGCAAAGTTTTACAATTTGATAATTTATCATATGTGAGTACTTTGCAAACAGTATATAATGCACTTTTATCGTTCTAAAGATAAATGTAGTCAAGTGCTTAATTTAAATGAATAGATAAATCCCCGAGCAACCGACGTATTTAATCAACAACTGTTTAACGGTATAAAGGCAAAATAAGGCGTGTTTTCTGACCGTTAATTTCGAATTAAGTTAGCGCTGGGTAACGCTTGTTCAACGCAATTTTCTTTCCGGATGTTCTTTTTATTATGAATTATTTTGACTTTTCAATATGTATACAGTGTCCCATTATAATGGAACTAAAGCCATTTTTGCTATTATTGACCATGCAAAAATCCATTAAATGGGAAATTGTCGAGGTTCTTTTTTTGGTGGGACTAAAGAAAAACTGAAATAAGTTGTAAAAATAAATATATTAATTTTTTTTGTTGCAATATAATTGTTCTCTTGCTTAATTGCAATTATCTAAAAATCAACCAGACCTTCATAAAATTCAATAAAACTTTCCCAATTTATGTGTTCCTTCTCCAATAATCATGCTGCTGGACATTGTATCAAAAATTTAATCATCACCTAAACATGTATGTTCTTCTAACTGAACGTTCTATGAAACAAACAATAGCACACCTCGATCTGTGCCTGAATAAAAATTTCATTTGCAAAAACATCAATTATTATTATAAGCTGGCAGTCTAAAAAACATCATAAATTTTGAATGCTTAGTGATAACTGAAATAATACTCGGGAATTAAAAATATTTGCGTGCACAATAAGAGTGGTGTTAATGTACAGTCGATATATTAGGGTCCAAAGTAATTTGTCTATCTACTAATTACTTTTATCCACCCACTACTTTAGGAAAAACAAAAAAAGATAATTAGTACTATTTAGGAAAATAACCCAATACTTGTTTGAACACATATCTTTGTTCCTCCAGCAATGTTAAGCATACAATGTCATTTGTTGAAAACCACAGACTAACCAGACAGTTTTGGAGATTTGGGCTGGTAAAAAGTGAATGTAGAAAACTTTTTGCCAACATGGTGTTCTTTATTACTGTTTCAATATTTCAATTTATAAAGATAATTGAATTAAATAAAGCTGATAAAAAAATAAAGCGGATTCTCTGGATGCGGAATTACTATGATCCATTAAAATTAAGTTTACCGCAAAACTTTTGGCATCTTTTTGGACGTCGACCATTGATTAGGTTATTTAGCAGGTAAATCAGATAATAGAAAATACAAATGGGAAAAAATGAAAATTCAATAAAAAGCGAGATTGACTCAATTCTTTCATCCAGTCAAATAAAAATGGATTTACAACTCTTACGTTCAAAATTTGAATTCTCAGTTATTTAGGTTTGCGCCAGCTTGGTAACAATCTGTTTATTATATATTATTATAGTTAAAATATTTACTAATGACACTTCTTAGTGATGTTTTACGTGGAAATGCAGTTTTCAACCGCTTTTCACTCACTGAAATTTACTACTTTTTATATCCTGATGCATAATCCGCGTTTTGAAAGAAATAACTGCTAAACATAGTTAAAAACAATACACACAGTAACAACCAAAACTAACTGAAATATCTAAAAAATGTGTAAGAAAAATCAAGAACAAACTATCGATAGAAAACGGTAATTGGTAAGATTAGGGTCTCTTGTCGCTGTTGGCTCACGATAATAAACGAGTACTCACATTGTATGTAAAATACCATTTTCGACCAGAATTACAATGTTTTGTTTCAAAAAATATGCTTAACAAAACAATAGGAATATACAAAACAAACGCATTGAAGGAATTTTTGGCTGTAATGTTCCCACGTCTATATCCATGTTTTTCTAAGACTCATCTTGTAGCTATTTATTTTGTCTAATTGGGATTAGGATGTGTTAGTTTAGGTAAGTATAGTTAAATCGCCAGTAGTTTTAATAATTTAAATCAAATGGCTCCACCTGTCGCAAATGTAATCTGTCACCTGAGCAAATTCCTTTTCCTTAACCCGTTTCACACTTTATTTACTACATTTCCTTTCATTGTTTTCTTATTTGCCTGGGTCTTTTCAAACATACGGCATTTTTTTCACTTCCACATGCACCATCTTCATGTCATCATGTCTTATGCTGGCAGTTGCCTACATCTGGCAAGTCTTTACTTTTTGTTAGCTATATTTGTGTAGATTTGCTATTTTGTTGGAGGCCTCAATGCCCGTTGCGAAGTAGAAGCAGCTGTTATTGACGGCACAAGCCCTTGATCTTAACAACGACTCGAAAAACAGTCAAGCAATGCTAACCAAAACCAAAAAAACTAACTCAAATAACTCCAATATGTTTAGGAAAAAAGCAAGTACAAAAGAAAAAAAGTTTCGTAATTCGTCGCAGTGTAGACAGTGTCATGGCGTCCTTTGTTACTTATGGAGAAGTAGTGGATTTCAATGAGTAAAAATGGGTCGAAAACCGTGTCCAAAAAAAATCAGCTAGGAGAAGTTGTTGGTAAAACATTATCTACTAGGCTAGCATAATTTTAACTTCGAAAATGGCCAGGGTATAGACTAGAAAATGAGCAACAAATAATTTTTTTGTTTAGCTAACTTCTGTTATACACATTTCTGTGCGACACTATGGATCTACTTGTATATTAGTAAATAACTGAAAATTACCAAAAATTATTTGTCCAACATCTACAGGATTCAATTACAGTAACATAAAGCGTTTGTGTAATTTGGCAGCACTGCGCCAAGTCTAGCTTAAATACCGTGATTTTGGTCAAATTTGTGAAGTGTTTCCTGAACGATTAAAAAAAACAACAACTCTGAATGAAAGGTAGGCTTACTCCTGGGTGTTAAGGAAAATAGACTCGAATTACTTATATTGATCTAATGGAATTGATAATTAAGGAAGACCTTGTACACCCCAAACCAAGCTTTTACCTTCTGTAGGTATGGGAAAATCCAACAAATTCAACTTGATCTTTAAGCAATGTAGATGAGATTATTTAAAAGGAAGTTATTAAGCTGTGAGATAAGAAGTACTAACTGATGATTAAGGATTGAAAAATAACTTCGATAACATCAATTCTATTGGCCAAGTAAAACAATTAAACTAGAATCAGGAAAAGTCCCGAAACTTTGACCTAATTAGCCTTCAAATCTCAAACCGTGCAGTTAATACGGAATTTGCCTACAGGAAATTAGAATCACTGACACGCAAGTTATGCAAATTTTCTAATTAAACGCCCGATAATTAAACGGATCGATTCAATAATAAAAGCCATAAAAATCACTTACCATCTGCATCTACCTCGTTAATCATGTCCTGCAATTCTGCTTCAGTTGGATTTTGCCCTAACGATCTCATTACAGTGCCTAATTCTTTGGTAGTAATTGTGCCATCTCCATCTTTGTCAAACAGAGAAAAGGCTTCTTTGAATTCGGCAATTTGCTCCTCTGTGAGTTGGTCAGCCTAGAAACGAACAATTGAGGCTAAATTGGGCCATAAAACTGATAAAGGCGACTTTTAATAACAGTTTTACGCAAAAGTAAACACCCTACTCCTACGTAACGTAAGTGCAACAGATCAATATAGTAACGGTTTTTCGCGAATTCAACAAAATTAACGGACATTTTCATTATGATTTCGTGTAGTTCAAGTGGTTTTTAGTGTGTCGAATTGGAGAAAGCTGAAAAAGACCCGCAATGCGGCAAACTTTTCAACCGGTTATATTTGTGTATCCGTAAATTTTGACAGCTATTTACTAACAGTTTTTGCCGAATTTCGGGGAAAATACAAGAACCGATGCGAAATGAGTTTAATCAAGGGGGTTTTTACCACTAAGATGACCGAAAATATGCACTCACCATTATGATTTTTTAAGATTACACTAAAACGAAATAATATCGACGCAAAGTCTCGCTGATGACAACGCTTTCCCGTCAAAAGCACTAGCCAACTGTTTCGTTTTCTCGTTTTGTTTAGGCCAGCGAAAGGGGAGGGAGAACGGCGCAGCGTACACTACCGCCAAAGCGCAATAGCGCGGCTACGACATAAACCAGTAAATATTCCTACGCAAAATTGAAAAATTTGATATAAATTCTGGGGCCTTTTTGGATTGAGATTATACTAACGGCTGCCGAATTACCTGCCCACAACAAAACAGGCAAAAGCTTGCGGGATTGAGGCGAATAATGCTTTTAAAAAGCGGCCCTTCTTTTTCCTGCGGAATGTGTCAAAAGTTTGAATGTCGGGCGCGGCTTGTTTACAACGTCCTCTTGAGGCAGCGGAGCGTTCCGATTGGCGCAGAGCTACCTGCAATGCGTCAAGCAGGCAGCGGGTCATACATTGCACGCGGTGCGTGACGTTTACACAGCGTCGCGACGCTAGGTTGGACGACGTCGAACGCGGTTCTGCTGACTTTGTGCGGGTGCGGTAACAAGAACTGAGCATGCACTTTTGCAGGCGCCGAAACGCGCTACTAAACCGAACTGGGTAATATCTAATTTGGGTTGAATAATTAAAAAATTGCCTGCTGTGACCACTCCCATCCCGCAGTTTAGTCAACGCCAAATTATTTTTTCAATTATTTATATAGCTACAGGAAGGATCAAGCGTGTTAAATGAGCACATTATTACCGTAAATATGTTGTGTAAACAGAAATTTGTCAACCTCAAATAAATCAAAATAGATTCTGTAAACATTTACGGGTTTTTGAGCCTTTTTTTTAAATTCAACTTGTAGGCCGGCGGTGCTTTAATTTTTAAAGCTTTTTTAATTTTATAGTTTTATTTTTTAATTATGTATTTTAACTTTAATATAACAAGCACACTTCTCCCCGATTTATTGGCCAATTAAGTGGGCCACGTATTGAAGGTCATTTTCGCGGCCAAGACTTGGCCATTGACTTTACACTTGGATATTGTTTTCACAATAAATTGGTGCAATTTCAGTAAACACAACACAAATTTCAAATTTGAGTTATGTTGTTTTGTATGGGTAACGACGTGTAGATCATATAGCACATGAGTAAAGAGTCAGATTTTTTGCTTATGCCCCTAAAGAAGCGACTAATTTTCTTTATTAATTTCCTAAACTTATTGCATACAACACAGATTTTCAACTTCTGAAACACATTAAAAAGGCAAAAATATCTTAGACCCTAATTCCTCACATACAAGATCGTCATTGCACAGTTAGCAAACAACCAATATTGGTTGTTTGCCTACTACCTATATACCTACCTAACGCCAATAATTCCCAGAAATCATTGGTAATTAGCAATTATTTCCAAAATGCTCTGTCCGCAATAAATCGTACGATTTATCGATCGCAGCCCGATGTTACCACAGGAGAATTACAGTATGGTCGATGGAATAGGCGAAATTTTAAAATTGAAGGACAGTTATATACCGAAGCCATGTGTGGAGCAAAAGAACTAAGACATTTTCATTGATGGTCACACTTCTGGTTATACCGGAAGTGTAGGTATCAACTTGCTTATTTTAAATTTTGGTACAAAATTACAGTTGCAGGCACTCGAATCATTATTAATTTTTCCTATAAGGAAATATGTGTTAATTATTTAATTTGAGTTGCATTCCTTATTGGAAAATACTGACTTTTATACAGTTTTGAAAACCACTTTGTAACTATTGAAACAAAGTGTTAAAAAAAATTCGTTTCAAAGTGAAACTGAGAAAACCCCCAAAAATCAATTTTATTAAATGGAAACATCCAGTTTTGATAATTTTATCTTATTTAGTATTAAAAGAAAATAAGTTTGAGTAAGTTATAATAATCAATGTTTGCATGAAATTTACAGTATAACTATTATATTGTAAAGGTGAAAATTTTAACAATGGTTAGGTCACATCTCTTTAATGTTGGAGGTGGACACTGATTGTGACAAGTTTTAGTTCATATTAAGTAATGACCTTGTTATTCCTCCACCATTATGAGCTTTTTAGCAGTATTGTTTGGTCAAAATAATATACTCATTCACTTAAAGCAACTTGCTTTTAGTATCTATTCATATATATATATAAAGAG